TGTAGAAGACTTACTTCCGGTATATTCACATTTTACCTATACTATTCCTTAGTTTGCCTTTATTCTGAAAATTTTTCTTGTGTAAATATAATTGCTACAGGCAGACTAAATTATTTGCTGCCAGGATGCCTACGCGATATTTCAAAATACTCTTATTATTCAAGGTTGTAGGTGCTTTACGACCTATCAGACCTGACTCATTATACTTATATTATTTGACATATTTATTATCTCAGCAAGCTACTACTGCTAAATAAGTATAAAGCATAATGCTTGATTGCTTAAAAATGCGTAAGTATATAATAACTCTGATTATGCTATGTTCTGCAATAAATTTATTTTTCAGCCAAATAAGCAATATATTAAAGAGCGTCTTTGGATATTGAAATAAGAATTTGTTTTAATTATGAGATATATCCATCATATTTTGCCCCAAATGGTGAAAGACTGATGCTTAAAGTTCCCCACAAATATATTAGTAGACCTCCTGTCTCTATTGAAATTACTATAGCATCGCTTCCAAAAATATACTCTCATCCAGAGTCGTTTATAACTCACTTAGGTCCTATCTGCATCCACATCGGAACCCAAATCCGAGTAGTTCAGCATATAGTCTCGACACAGTAACTACTACGCCACAATGCTACGTGTTCCCGTAGGTCATATTGCATATGTAAATTTCACGGAAGGCCAGTCTTTTCCATGTCACTTTCTGTGAGGTGATTGAAGATGAAGCAAAGGAGTATTTTTTATTAAAGTCGATTGCATTACTTATTTTTATTTTAGAGATAGGTTTCGAGATTAGCCTTAGATCAAATATAAGAGATATACTTTTCATATATACCTATCCGTCATCACATTAAACTAAATAGAATGAATACATTTCATATATATGATTTGCTCGTAGTCCTGAAACTGATTAAATATCCATTTTCTATGCAACTTCCAAAAGTATGTGATATATGGTTATGTATACTTTGGACATCATGATATTTTATTGCTTGAGAAGGGCACCTGCTGCAATTATCTGTAGATACGAAGAGAAATTTGGTTTCGATGAATCAGTCCTCATCTCTTCTTCATATAATTTCATTCGAAATAAAGGTCCCTCTAACAATGCAATTATCTGGATAAACACGATTATTTGATGACTTGAATATAAATCCATGGTCTAAATCAAGCCTTTACTTCAGTTCCTGCTGGATAGAGTGAAATCAAACAAATACAAAGCGTAAACAAAAATAGCCTTTCCTAGATCTTGTATAAGCAAAATTTTTGATTGACTAGGTTGAAAAATAAGAGCTTACTAATGCTTTCATTTTTCATAGCTGGCCCTCTAGAGACCTAGTGGCTAATCATCGAGTACTTCATTTGGACAAATTTGGGTTTATTTAAAGTAAGTTGATATCAAAGCGAAAGGTTGTGTGTTATATAAAAACCTTATCAGTTGGCAATATTACACCTTGATCATTATATAATCAGACTATCTAGTTTGCAATAAAACAGTTATTAATAGATGAAAATGATGAATAGATTGCAGCCTATCAATTTTACCTTTACCACCATCGTATGTCCATGAGCCAAACTTCATCGAGCACACCTGCTCATCGTAAGGAAAGAACTCCACGTCAATTTGGCATGAACTTTTGTATATAGCTGGTGGTATCCAGATGACCTGACCGTCATGATAAACTGTAGCTTTTGTCATAACGGTGATCTCGTATTTGCCATCTGCGCTATAACATAATGCAATATTTAAACATTTGAATTAAGGTCAAAGTATATTTCGGGTAAAATGACCCTAACTTCTTCATATTTGTAGTCAAGTTAACGAAAGAACAAACATTAGATTGTGGAAAGAAAAATGAACCTCATTGAGATAAGATGCTTGATGCCTTTCGATGTAATAAATATAAAATGTATAATAAATGCAACGCTTGGTGGCTTATATGTGTATTTTAAAATTTCTTGAGGCCCAAAATTTAATTTGTCACCAGTGCAGCATAACAACAAACAATTTTTGGCTTATAATGGGATGCATGGTTGATAAATGATCAGTGGAGAAGGTAGTTGTTGATTTCGTATATATAAGGGCACTGGCATGTATGAGATAGAAAAATGTATGACTTATATTTTCCCAGTTTTTGGGGGTAAATTAATTGAGATATAACCAGATTTATTCCCCAATTTTAACCCATGATTTATAATAAATACAATCTATCTTCGAATGTGCGAATTTAGACAGAATATGATATGCCTTGTCAAACTATAGCAAAGAAAACTATAGACAGAATAGTATCAAGAATTGGACCAATCGGAAAGCAAAGAAATATTGCCTTGGCTTGAGGAATATTGGATTGTGCAATAAAGTCTTCTGCTCACTGTCTTTCTAGTCCGATGAAATCATGTTGACACTTCTTCTGTCCTGCTGCAGACATCGTCAAATCCAGCAATCCTGCTACGAAACGGTAACAGTTACTTAAGCACAAGAAATAGTGCCGGCTACCATCCTATTCACTTCTTTTAACAAAAATTAGTTCTCTTTATGAGGCATCACAAGATTTGTTTCGTGAATTAACTTTTAAACTTAATATTCGCAGACAAACAAATTTGATGCTCCTAAGTCGTGCGAGATGTGACTATGATAATCAGATTTTTGCTGTTAAGGCCATTATACCTTGATTAGCGATTTTCCTCTATGCTTTCTCTAAGCTTATCCCAAAGCCAGAAATATTTATCACTAAATATACCTCGATGATTTATCTCATTCAGATGAGGGTCCCATAGTTTATTGTTATAGCCTTCCTTATCTTCCGCTTAGAAGTAAATTCTTCGTGCCCAGCAAACACTTTGATTTTGGCCATTATATTTTCCCTTTTCTATTGTCTATATGCTTATCCACTTTAGATTTTTTGACTAATTGATTGTTATTTGCGATTCTATAGGGAGAGGTATGTCTCTAACATCTACCCTGGTCTTAAATGAGGGCCCGGAAACTCTTAAAATTAGGAATGTCTGTGGATGATGTACTGATATTCAAAATCAACAGTGGCTTACCTGCCTTATTTGATAGCCTAACATATGGTAATACTAGAAACAGAATGAACTGGCCCATCTTCATATCCTGTCTTTAATAGCTGTACCTGCACATTCCAGTTATCAATGGTGAATGTATCGCTCTATTAATATTTTTTAAAAACTGTTTTGATTTAGAGTCTCCTTAATTGAATTTTATTGTGGCCAGCTTTTTTTACTATTTAATGTATAGGTGTTTTTCGTAATTGACATTTTTCACACCGACAAAGTCTCTTACGTGATGCTCAATATAGTTTCTTCGGTGTCGTAGTGCGGTGAATTGATTACTTCTTCCCACAAGCCAACAGTTTCCATGCTGGAGTGACTCTCCTTTGATGTCAGTTTACTACAAATTACAAATCCCTTCCAACCAATGTTCCTACTAAATTAAATTCAAATTATATCAAAGTATTAATGGATTCCAGCTTGAAATGATTCCCTTATATCTTTAGAGGTTTACATGTATCGATAGAAATCAAATTATTTTGCTATATGATAGTCTTGATATAAGAGGTAAACTTACATTGCATTCAACTCTTAAGCGAATCGCTTAGTGGGAAATGAGACTATCGTCTCATATCACAAGACTTAGCTCTAAAGCCGATAAATCTACAGGCCTTTCACCGTTAAAATTATATAATAAATTTAGTTTAAAAAACTACTAACATTTCTTCTTTAAGTTCGGCCTTGTGAAATTGTCTCTATTTTGTATTAAGATTTTTTTCCTTGCAATTATTTTGGCTGAAGCTTTACTTCCTGAGAAGTCTTCCTTAAATCTAGTCACATTCAAGTTCAATTATTCAAGAGGAATGATTTAAATAATTGTGATCTCTGATGGTAGCACATACACAAGTTAAGGAAACCTTCCAAATTGAGGCTAAGCAAAAACTTACTTGTTAAATAACACGATATCTGGCTTCCAGATCATCTGAGAGGGGACATATATTTGCGTGGTGCCATTATAATCATTTGGGTCCCATCTGAGATTGTTATCACTCCATTCCTGTTCTAGCCATATATTGGACGTGATTACTTCATTACGTTCATCCTGAAATAATAAAATTAAATTTCATATTATCACTTATTTTAATATCGACATACTAAAGTAGTGCTTGGCACGTCGAAATATGTTATTACCCCGATACAAAAGTGCGACCGATCAAAGATGCCGGTGAAATTTCTAGTAATTAACTAAATGGAATGTTTCATGTTTAAAATTATCGTGAATACCTTGGGAGAGTACGTAAAACTGGGTTTACTCCACAAATTCTTCCGGATACCCCGACCAATTTTTAAAATCATGGTCTATCTAACACTATACAAAATAAAGTTTTAGTTTTTCCCGCTGGGGGTGCTGATAAGACATATGCGAAGTCGAAACTGCAGTCCACTTTGGATGAGAACAACTTTTGGGAAAGCAAGGCTATGAAATTCAATGGAAACGGCAACTTTACTCATATCATTGTTAGAAAATTCTACTACCAGTTTTTCATCAAGTTAAACGAAATTGGGTGAATACATCTCATATTTAAGTTTTAATGCCATCTATATTCGGCCGAATATTAGGAAAACTTAATTTCTATCCAAGGATCTGAAGAATGCCAAAAAAATTTGGCTGTTGAACTTTAGGCTTTTTGGCCAATGAAGCTACCTTTTTAGTAAGTTGACTATACTGGTAGCTCTATTTTTATAAAAAAAATTAGGTAATGTCCCGGATTCTATCTCTGGGTCCCTGTAAAATAGAAATCACAGATATTATCTTGCAAATTTTTATTAT